GAGCAGTTATTCATAGATAACTGAAAGGCATTTGATTGCATGCACATTACATATTTATTCATATAAAGTTTAATCGAATAAAATTAATTATAGATATACATTACCATCTTATAGTAAGTATCTTCAGGCTTGATAGGCCTAGTTGTTATTTTAGCACATTATTGTTGTTGCACATTTATTTAATCCGTATAAATCTGGTGTGTAGCTTTACCCTGACTCTCTCATCTTGAGAAACTGACTTCCTGTACCCTTACTTAATTTTAGTTATAATCTTTAGAATACGAGCTCTGCCCTTATAAAGAATTCAACCTTGAAAGTCCGAATTTAAACCGTCGCACAATCATTGCACAATTATTGATCCGATCATTTATGCAACCATGCCAACGGTTACCATGCAACCATTACAATTTTGGTTGTAAACTCATTGAAAATGTTTCAATCATATGTAACCATTGTAAACGCTTGACAATTTTGATTGCATTTCTTGCAACCGTTTCAATCAAATGCAATCTTTTAAAACTATGGCAATATTATCTCAATAGAACATAAAATAATTATATTGCTCTTTAAAATATATATTTTAAATGTATGTATTTCATGCATTTATATCAGAATTTAAATGGTTTGATATTTAAAGTATTGAAATAGTTTAGTTAACTTGTCTTGTGAATGAAAATATATTGAACCAATTTCCATCTAACCTTGAAGGATAGTGATTGTCTCACGCACATGTATATTATCTAGATAACACCAATGCTAAGGCAAAGCAAATCCCCTCGCTGCCATGACTAACATTTTTACAAAATCCCTCCACTACTTTTTAAGTTATTGCAAAAACATGTGAAATAATTTTGATTGGGTCAAGTCTTGAATTTTACAAATTCAGACACTTATACTGTACTTAACCTTTCAATCATCACAATTATAAAGGAAGGAAGATGTGTCTGGAAGGAAGAAATCCTTCAATCAGAAAATAATCTGTTTATTGATTTGATATTTTTGATTTGAAAATGCAATCAGACATTACAGGATGTGATTTAAATAATTAAGTCGATAAGCATAACTTAAAAGAATTCTGATTACAGTAAGACTCAGTCTCTCTAGTTTGATTAGAGTCTGCTTTGAAGAATGTATTGTGTCTAAAAAAACTTTATTAATCCATTAATCCATAAACAAAACAAAAATAATTTGGCAAGGCAAAACAAACCTTATTACAGAGAGACTCTCAGTTTGATTAGAGTCTGCTATAAAGGAAGCATCCTATGTAATTTAATTATTCCATACAAAGAACTTGATAAATAATTTGCCAAAGAACAATAACTTAATCCATAAACAAAAAACGAAAATCTCCCTTATTTTCCTCCAGATTTTTTCGAGTTTAGTTCTTTTATTTTTCAATTTTCACGTATTATTTAAACTGAAAACACCTTTCAGTACGAATGCTCTGCCCTAGTGAATACAGTAAAACCATGGACTTTCAATCTATTGAATGCCCATGGTAAACTTAACGAAATAAAAATGAAATACAAAAATTCTGAAAAAGCAGTTTCATATACTTGCTATTTGAGATTTCTTAGCACTTATAAAAGTTATTGAATAAATAAATAAACCCTCAAAAATCTGAAAACACTTTTTAAATTTTTAACCCCCCCCCCTCTACATGAAATAGAGAATATAAATAAATATATAGTATAACACAAGCTGAAAATAAATACAGCAGAAACTAGACTATGAACCCTATTTCTGGTCAAGCATTTTAATTAGCCGTTCAACCGTTTTAATTAGCTGTTCAACCGTTTTAATTAGCTGTTCAACCGTTTTAATTAGCTGTTCAAGCATTTTAATTTGCCTAAACCCATGAGAATATTAATATGTAGTAGGTATTGTTGTGTAGAGCATTATTATAAAAAATATTTGCCAAGAAAGAACATAGTAATTAAATCTGAGATAAGGACAGATTTAGCTGATGAACATGCCAATATTGTGTTGAATTTTGCCATGGGCTCTATCAGGTGGTAGAGCCCATGATTTTGCCAATAGTTAACTGAATACTGCCAATAGCTTTATGAATACTGTCAATAGTTTATTGAATACTGTCAATAGTTTAATGAATACTGGCAATAGTTTAATGAATACTGGAAAAAGTTATTGGATACTGCCAATATTATAATGAATACTAACAATTAGTTCATTGAATACTGGCAATACTGATGAATACTGGCAATAGTTTATTGAATACTGACAATATTATAATGAATGCTGGCAATAGTTTATTGAATACTGGCAATAGTTTAATGAATACTGGCAATAGTTTATAGAATACTGCCAATAGTTAATTGAATACTGCCAATAGTTAAATGAATACTGGCAATAGTTTATTGGATACTTCGAATAGTTTAATGAATACTTACAATAGTTTAATGAATACTTACAATGGTTTAATGAATACCGGCAATAGTTTAATGAATACTGGTAATAGTATGATGAACATTGCCAGGAGTGTCACTTTTATGAACACTTGTAGTAGTTTCATGAACACTAGATATGGTACTTTTAATTGTGTAAATAATGTAAATGACAGAGAACTAAACTAAAAATAATTTTCTATAATACATGCATGTATTTTTGCAGAAAAATATCCTAATATACTGTTGTTGAATAGAGGTAGATTCAAATCATTACTTAAAGATAATTTTAATTCAGGTAAAATGATAATTTTTAGGAACAATACTAATTCAGGATTGCCAGGAGTGTCACTTTTATTAACACTTGTAGTAGTTTCATGAACACTAGATATGGTACTTTTAATTGTGTTAATAATGTAAATGACAGAGAACTAAACTAAAAATAATTTTCTATAATACATGCATGTATTTTTGCAGAAAAATATCCTAATATACTGTTGTTGAATAGAGGTAGATTCAAATCATTACTTAAAGATAATTTTAATTCAGGTAAAATGATAATTTTTAGGAACAATACTAATTCAGGATGGTTGTAGGGGTTGAACTATGCAATCATTGAACAAAACATATTGCAACCATTTACATTTCAATGTGAAATGGTTGCAGTTTACAATGGTTGCAGATTACAATGATTGTATAGAAACGGTTGCGCAGTCGTTGAAAAAGAGTTGACTTCGCTTGGTTGAATGCAATGGTTGCACAATGATTGCTTATCATTGTACAATGGTTTTTCCTTTGATCTTAGTAGTTGAAACAATCAGTATTCAATGATTGATGGAAACGGTTTGAATTCGGACTTTCAAGGTTGAAATTTTTATAAGGTTATTATCTATTTCCGGTCACGTTTATCAAAATCTCGCATTTCCCGAGATCAGTATTCTATATTTAGCATTGACCAGAGCTAGTATTCTATACTATATTATAGTATATGGCCTGTCATGACCGTGGTAATGTTAAAGCCTGATATGACCGTAACAATGCTATACTATATTGCAAGGCCTGACATGACCGTGGTAATGTTAAAGCCTGATATGACCGTGACAATGGTTGCAAGGCCTGTCATGACCGTGGTAATGTTAAACCCTGATATGACCGTAACAATGGTTGCAAGGCCTGTCATGACCGTGGAAATGTTAAAGCCTGATATGACCGTGACAATGGTTGCAAGGCCTGATATGACTGTGGTAATGTTAAAGCACAATATGACCATGACAATGGTTATATTAATTGACATTTAGTAGCATGAGAATACTGCAATGAAAGATGTCATTGTTTATCTACCTTAAATATGTAAATCTAGACTACAACTACATGTACTACTACTTTAACTCATAATTCATTTCCACAAACTACTAGTATAATTCTAATCTCATTCAAGAACGTGAATATCGTCACAGTCATGTCAGGGTTTACCATTACCACGGTCATGATAGGCCTTACAACCATTACAACAGTCATATAAGGCTTTAACATTACCACGGTCATGACAGGCCTTGCAATATAATATAGCATTGTCACGGTCATATCAGGCTTTAACATTACCACGGTCATGACAGGCCTTGCAATATAATATAGCATTTTCACGGTTATACCAGGCTTTCACGATAACAATACCACGGTCATGGCAGGATCCTTGCGAAACTTAAAAACACTTAATAACACGGTGACGGTTGTGCCAGGCATAAGTCTTGCAATATATAGCATGTGGTTTATGAAGAGGTGATCACATGACCTTCTGCCAAAACGCAGGCTGCTTGTTTCCAATCCTGGTAAAATTATATGTCCAAGTAAGTTTCAAAAGAAACATTAACTCAAGTCTATGTCACAAGTCAACATTAAGTCAATGTGTTCGCACACGAGCACTACATGTAGATCTATAATACTGTAGGTTAAGAAGAAAATAAAATCAGATATATGCACGGACGTCAAGTAAGTTTCTGGCGAAAGCCGGAGCATAGATTATTTAGAGGACTGGAAACCAGAATGACCTACCTTTTTATTTCCCGAATCTCGCCTGAAATTAGCTCATCTTGGTGACTGTAACCTGTATATCTATATTAATAGAGTCTTTTTGTATCGCATCTGCCTCAATTTTAAAGTTTAATTGGTATCTTTAATATGATTTCACTGTTTTTGTGGACTGGTACGATTAAGCCAAGCAAATGGCAGCTGATCTGTTCAAAGTACTTTTAGTACTAATTATCGCAAATGACAATAATTTTGGAAACAAAATTATACTAAATAGATTACTAAGCATCTAAGGTAAGTAAAACTAGATGAACAACTGAGTCAATAGTGAGAAATAGGCCAAAATGAACTGCCAGAATTGAAATAGACTGCCATCTTGTTTCCAGTCCTCTAAATAATCTATGCTCCAGCTTTCGCCAGAAACGTACTTGACGTCCGTGGATATATGTCTAAATACATGTTAAAGGCTGAATGTTACCTTTGCATCACAATGCTGATGAAGTTAACATGAATAAATGTTACAGTACTTAGACACTTACCTATAAGACCATACATTTAAATAAATTGTAGTAGGAAGAGAAATCATGGCTGATGATGTGCCTCTTGAGTCAGAAAGATCAGGGGCATCAGAGAGATCATTAAAGACAGAGGATCAAGTATTTACTTGTAAGTTCACAGGCAGACAGAGTACAGTTTCAGTTGGAAGAGAAAAAATTGATATTGTGGAGTGTGCTGATGTAAAGAAACCTACAAAGATAGCAAAATCTGATCAGTGAGTATGTATTCATAGCTTAACAAACAAATACAAATACTTTTGTTGAAAGCCCATGGTTTATTTTATGAGTTATACATTTCATTGTAATACAAAAATACCGTTTTTATTTTGACATGTTATCCTATGAATATCATGTTAACTATGGAATAAAATACAATATACCATGTGATACATGTATTTTCAGCATTATCCTGAGTGATGTACTTTGTGCTAAAGTAACTGGTCATTCTGAGGTGACACTTCATGTGATACAAGGCACAAGCAAAGACAAGAAACTCACACTGAAACAAGTAAAGCTGTCCCTAAACGATAATGCACAGTTGGAAATTCTGGAGAAGAAAATAAATGATGCTATCAAATCAATCACAGGTATTTTCCTAGCTTTTGTACTATGGCAATCCTTTATTGGTGCACTATATTGAAAGTTTTGTAAAACATACATGTACTGTATTCATGTACATGTATTCATGTAATGATGGTTGATATGTAGGTAAAATAGGTCACCCTGTATTTCTTCAGTCTCTATCACATAGTCTCTATCTATATGTATACGGCCATATGTATATGTAGTTGAGGCTGTAGGTAGAACCCAAACCAGGATTTTAGTGATGATATATGCTTATTGCCTCCAATTTTATTTGCTAGAGGGTGTCCGTCCAAGAAGATTGCTGGCGATAGTAAATCCTATAGGAGGAGGTCAGATTGGGGAGAAGATCTACACAACCAAAGCAGCGCCATTGTTTGCCCTGGCAGGAATAGAAGTATTGGTGAAATGTAAGTCAACCGCATATTCATTCACTCGGCTCCCGTCAGTCAAAGTGAAGACTGAGCGTGCAAAGATGCGTGTTCACTGATACTGTTAGGAAAATAAACCTTTAATACAGAAACTGTAAGATCTATTTTGTTAAAACCTCCCAATGACTTCAACTTAGGGTATTATTAGAAACAATTTACTCTTGAATGCATCTAATTAATTAATGAATTAATTATTTATCTTACTTTGATGTATTTCATGTGAATGATATTTAGTGTTTGCATTATTGCCGTATCACAGAAATAAATATCCAAATATAGATTGATAGAAAAGGTCTTAATGTTTATTTCAGTTAAAAACTTAAAAAAAAATTTTTTAAAATAGATATGAAGAAATAATTATATTACAGTGTCTGAGAGACCTAAACATGCAATAGAACTTGCAAGGGAAACAGATCTGAAGGATTTTGACGGGTGAGTATCATAATTGATCATATTGAGGGGTGACTATTGTATGTGAAGGGTATCAGAATCCTATGTACACATAATTCAGAGCACGTCATGATAGTTCAATATACTTGCCACTTCAATGTATGTATGCATACAGGCCCCTAGCCAGAGGGGCTCAGGGAGATCGAATGCCCAAAATGAATGCCCAAAATAATTTGTTCATAATTTGTGCAGTTTTTCACCATTTTGAGCACTTCCCCCCCCCCCCCCCCCCCCCCCTTGGCAGAAGCTGACTACGAGCCTTGCCCTGATGTTTAATAGACATTAAATCTTCATTTTAGTGTAGTGGCAGTTGGCGGTGATGGGACGTTTACAGAAGTGTGTAATGGTCTTATAGAAAGGAACCTCAAAGATGGCGCTCCGATTCTCCCAATAGGAATCATTCCTGCAGGTTAGAAATTTTATATCAGTTTATAAATATGAAACAATACCATTTTCAAACAAGATTTCTATTCATGATTCCAAAATATAAATTTTACCAAGGAGTGAGTTTTCTCAGTGAATATTTTCAAATTCGAAAGAGTTCTCACTTTCTTCTTAATGTTTGTTTATCAATTTAAAAAAATGTTAACACAACTTATTCTATTGAGGTATTTGGTCACACATCCCAAATATATGTATTGTGGAATCTTTACTCCTAATGGATGAATTGGCATGATTATAAATAAAGAAATTGTTTCTGACAGTATAAATGTCTTTTCTTTATTTGTACTTGTTGCATTTAGAACTTAAATTTAGTTCTAGATTCCTTCATACAGTAGTTGGTGTCAGCGTCATAGACAGTAAGTGATTGCATTAGTGTGTGTGTCTATTGTAGTGCTGTCTCATATACTCTATTGTGCTATCTCATCATATACTTTAGGTACAGGAAATGCAATGATTGAGGGATTTTCAGGAAGCCATGACATCACCGCAGCAGTGCTTACAATTATAAGGGGTTAGTGTTAAGTATTCTGTAGTATCTTACTGCAACTGAACTTTTCAATGACAGTTGAGATTATATAGTGGTTGATGTTGCTCATTTTTTTTTATACATTCAGTATTTGAAGTCAATACCATAGCACAAATTCTTTGTCTCCTTGATAAATTGACTCAATGTTGAAAGTAGTTCATTCAAACTTTATATGGTTTCTATATTTCATCATTTTTTGATATTTGTATCTCTTAATTTGTGTTTTTATATCTTTTAGGTTCTACCTACAAAATAAACGCACTTGAGGTAAAAAGTGCTGGGGATGTTATCTACTATGGGACTTTTATGTTTGGCATGGGGTTCTTTGGTCAGGTTATTCACAAAGCTGAAAAGAAGAGACATTTAAAGAAGTTACGTTACCCAGTAACAAGTATGTTTAACATGTTTAAGCAACTTCTGAATGTCACATTTGTCAGGTGCATACATACATGTATATGTCATAAAATGTAAGCTTTTTTGTCCTTGAGAAAATATTATTAGAATCAAGTTCAGCGCTGGAGAAGTATTAGTTTAGAGTATTGGAATACAAACTGTGGTCAGTGTTCCTCTCTGGCACATCTTATGATAAAGAGTTTCATCTTCACTCCGGAATGACATTTTGTAATTCAGATGTTTGATTGTGTTTTTGTTATATTTCTTAGTCATAACTGGCATAAAGAACCTCCCATCTTGCAATGTAGAGCTTGACATCACATACACTAACAAGGATGGAGAGGATTTGCAACCATCGGGTATGTTTCAGTTAATAATTTCACGAGGGGTTCTAAGAGACTTTGTAAGCTTATAATTAATATACTAAATTATTTGAATCCATTCAAATATTTATTCTTCTGTTCATGCTGGAATTCTTTGTGTTTTAAGAAAATGATTGTTCTGGCATATTCACCGTTTGAATGATGTATGCTACTACTTTTTGTAATAGTCAAAGAGTGTTTTCAGATGTTTTGAACTTTTGAGAAGGAATTCTCTGTATGATTGTGGTTTGATAAAAGTTTTTATTTTTTGGGATTTGTTACTTTAGGGGGTTGCTCTTTTTCTAATTCTTTTTTTATTGTGTGTTAAATAACAGTTGCATGGTTTCAGACTGGACCACTGTTCGTGGGTCGTTCACATCTGTTAGTTACATGCCTACAGATCAAGTCGATGATGACGGTTACTGGACATCATCCATAAGAAATCCTACACTGGAACTCACATTCATGCCTGATGCTACAAGAATGGATATGATTAAATTATTTTATTGCATGCTGAAACGAATGAATGGTGAAGATTGGGTAAGACTTTGATGTTTGACATGCATTTGATAAAAAAATTATTTTAATTTACTTCAAATGGGCCATCTTGTTTCAAGACATATGGGAACTTTCCCAAGGATAAATCTTTTTGAATTTTGTAATTAAAATGGTAAGTCAAGTAATTTTTCTTAATTGTGCCAAAACTGGTCCTGATTGAGAAAACAGCAAAACTCTACCCTGCCTAATGCCAACAATTCACCTTCATGTCCCCTTGGATTAAATGAAGATAAAATGCCATATATTAAATCATATCTTCAGATATGTATCCTTGATTGACTTATCATGCAGAAATTGTGCATTGTTTTCTCAAAACCAGTTCATAAATATTTACCTTGCAAACATTATTGACCTACATAATGGCATACTTTTGGAGTTTGCCATTGGGTTTTGTTGGTCCTTTTGGAGTTTACCATTGTGTTTTGTTGGTCCTTTGAGATGTTAGTGATGCCTGTTGCAGTGGGATGTTCCTTGGGCACTTCACTATCATCATCATCTCAAGGGATTAACTCTCATTGTAGCTTATGATACTCTTGCAATTTAGGTCCTTCCTGAATCAATGTATAGTGCACCTTTTCGACAAGTAAAGATAAAAGCTGTTAATCCAGAGGATAAAGTAGCACGATTGTTAAATATTGATGGAGAGCCCATCTCGTTAGACAATCCAGAGGTTGACATAAGGTACAGAAACACCAAAGGACTGTCTTATTTATATGTCACCACCACAAGTGGTGACATATTGTTATAGTCTCCAAATTTTTGTGGTGGTGGTTGGTATTTGGCGGCTGGCATTCAGCATCTGTAACAAATGCCGGGTGGTGACATATTGCATGTTAATTCCTTGAAAAATATGGTCTTCTGTCTTTATTAGTTACTAAATAAGCAAATAATCAGGCAGTTTCATCCATGATATTTTGAATTGTTAATATGGTCATCATGTGCCTTTTATAGCCCGCTGATATAATTGAAATGATCATTACTGTGTCTTTTACAGGCTCCTGCACAAGCTACTACCAATTTACAGTCGCAATATACTCAAATAACTACAAGAGATGAGTGAATCACAAACCTCACATGCAGCTACTCCTAACTTGACTTGTGCAGGACACATCTGGTTTGTGCATTCATAAATGGCACATACCTCAAGGTGAAGGAAGCAAATGCAATCATGAGACACAATTTGCACGCACAGTCTTAACAATATCATTGGAATAAGCCATATGAAATGGTATTATAATAACGTTTAGTGATCATGCAGCAGAATATCAGAATAATAAATCTGAATTCACAACATACTCCAATATATAATCAGCCTTATGAAGGAGTATTTGCAATCCATATACATGTGCCATACACTCATCAGGCCCGTAGTCAGGGGGTTTGAGGGAATCGAGCAAGCCCCCCTTGGCCAATATATCTTTCACAATCATGCATTTTTTTACCATTCTGAGCTCTTTTTAAGTGATTTTGACACTTTTTGAGCCAAAGTAGTCAAAACTGAACCCCCCTGGAATTTTGTAAAAAGTGAATCACCTTGGCAAATCCCGGCTACGGGCCTGCGCTCATTGTACTACTCTGTCATTAGATAAAACCACAGGTTCAATCAATCTGACTGAAATAGATTATATAATTAGTTTTGAGTACAACCTTTTTTAAACATTTTTTATACAAATGAATATTAAGATGTATAATGTCTATTATTATGTAAAGTAAAATATTTATATTTGTTATCATTTTTAAATATTTTATACAAATAAATATTAAAATGCATGATGTCTATATCACGTGTCACAGTGACAAGATATACCGTCGTACACTTTAGGTGTACGGTCGTGTCACTATTAACTGATTTGAAGCGAAAACTATGATGTAGGTTTGATTGTGGTTTTCAAAAATTAATTTAAGATAAAGTTATGACAACTTTTCTATTTTGGCGAATGTAAACAAAGGAGGTTACTTCGCTAAGGCTTTATAACCACTCTATCGACAGGTATACGATTTAAGTATCTGTAGAAAGTAAAATCAATTTCCCAAGAGACGGGGCGCTGTTGTATCGCACGCAGAACTAGCTGTGGTTGAACACTATCTACATTACCGAGGGGTAAGGGCAACATAAGGAAGGGGTGTTTTATTCGAAAGATATTTATTCCATCGAATTCAATAGAAAAAACAACAGAAGAATAAGCAATGACAGTTATGAATATATCACCTGCATTCCCCCTCTTATCTACTATTTCTATGTATGCTTGTCATTACTTCTCATAGTCACATGTCAGGCCCGTAGGCAAGGGGCGGGGGGTCGATGGGATCGAGCGAACCCCCCCTGGCCATGAAATCTTTCAAAATCATGCAGTTTTTCACCATTCTGAGCACTTTTTAAGTGATTTTGGCCATTTTTGAACCAAAATTGTCACAAGTGAACCCCCTGGAATCTTTCAATAAGTGAACCCCCCTTGGCAAATCCTGGCTACGGGCCTGCATGTATTGTCTCTCCCTTGTGTTTAATTCACAGTCCCTATTGTTCAACAAATTGGTGATGCTGTACCTGACTTGTTCCATCGTACATATCTTACTCAACATTTATCATGAAACAGCCTGTTGTGGAAACAGCAAAATCAAGAATTGTCTCATCATACCATACACTTTCCAAATCTGATTTATCGTGTCTTTCCTCCATAGACACAGGATGAACTGGAAGCTCTGATCTGTGAAAGCCTCTTCTCTTGGAATTTCAGCCATCTTGGAATATCTCACATGTGGTTTTGATATGTCATTAGCAATCATGTGTAATTGTGATGTGATTAATTGTTCCACAATAAGCACTTGTAGTTTTAACAAGAACAAATACAACATAGTAAGGGACCAAAATGCCGCTAAAACGAGGGATTTTGTATTAAAAGCAATGTCTCGACTGAACGGTATTTTTGTGAAGGTTTTAATGGAACAAGTTTGAAGAAAAACGGTGTAGTGTGAGACTCACAATCATTGATTTTCCAAAGACAGGGTAGATTTGAAATTCAAATTAACGGTTTTGCGGGGCGTTTTGGTTTCGATACGCCCCGGTGAGTTAGTTTAGGCTAGGCGATTGGGGCAGTAATCACGAGGTTGCGAGTTCCAGACGCTTGTGCTCCTCGCGTTTACTCATTCTCGAAAACGGGCTTCAACTGTGTACGAACGGACTTGACGTACTTAGAACCGTTTGGGGTCTATTTACAAACTTCATCGAACGTACTCGAACGGGTAGGTCCTCTAGAACTTCGAACATGCTCAAAATGTTCTACAATTAGAACGAGTGACAACGTACTAACGACGAGCTGAATGAGTAGAACTGGCTGAGGACGTATTGAGAACGAAGTAGAACTAATTGCAAACGGGTTTAAACTGATTAAGAACGTATTTAAGACTGCTTATGAACGAGTTAGCAAAAAGTTCACCATATCGATACCATTCCTTTTCAAAATTTACTTACAGAAACTTTACCATTTAAATATTTAAGCTAATACTGTCAAATGTTTTCAACAGATCTTTGAATATCAATGGTAAATTGTTCATGTGTCTAAGTTTTTTTTACCATTTTTCCTAGAAATGTGTGATCAACAATAATACATTCATACTGTTCACTGAATCTGCTACAATCTTTGATAATTGTTTAACCATTGTCTTGTACAGGTTTATATCAGCATCATGTCACTCTGGTATTATGTTATACTGTATCTAATGATTTATTTAAAAAATGTTCCACGTATCCGCCTTCCACCTTCACTATCACACGGACACGAGGGCGGAACTGCAATTGCGCATTCCATCGATTCTTGTAGTAGTTCTTTCAACTTCTACTAGTTGATCAATTAGTTTGTGTGGGGAGTACCATTAACTGCAATAAACTGCTCCAGGTGCCCCCATGTGTGATAGTCACAGGGGTTGGCATCTGGTGTATTGGGTCGCCATTCATCAGGACTTATGAATCCGAGAGGTATATATTCTCATCCAGATATTCCAAAGTGACTCTTGTCCGATGGCTTGGAGCGATAGTGAAGGTGAAAAGCAGATGTATAGAAAATTTGCTTAAATAAATAATCAATATATACAATATACCATTTTACCGTAATGAGTAGATGCCAATATAAAACTGTACTAGACATTGGTTAAACAATTATCAAAGATTGTAGCAGATTTGGTGAACACTTATTTTTTGGCACACCATGTAAATGGTAAAAGACCACGGGCAGTATGGCAAGTGATTTTAGACAATCATATCTTTCACCATGAGTACTTTCTGGCCATAAATACAGTGACTTTTATTAAAACAATTTGTTTTCTTACATGTGAAGTCCAATGATAGTAAAATATCCCTCATGGTGAAATATATGACCGTCTAAAATCACTTGCATAATACTGCACGTGGTCTTTTTGACCAAACCCACATTTTTTATGTTTAGTATGAAGAATTATAATTTCTTATAGCTTGGATTAAGTACCTATATATATGTTATAGGAATAATTTCAACACAGCAACATGTTCGAAAGAAATGTATTTGCTCAATATGTATTACGTCATCTCATGATATTGGCTTTACTGGGAGTTGAGGGTTTCCACCAACTCATTTTTTTGGTGGTTGACTGTGTTACCATATCAATTTCATAGATTGTTTTCAAAAATTTTTCATCCATTTATTATTTATTCATGATGACGATTTTGAGAACGTCCTTATGTATAATACAGACAACATGGCTGATATTCGAACAAAAGAAACGGGCCTTAAAACGAGGTAACTAACATGTTTACATTTTACACTTATTCCATCACTGCACACCTCTTGAGTGCTAGCTTGCTAACTATCACCTGAGTCTTTATTGTTGATCTGATGCTTTCCTTTAAGATTTTCCTGATTAGTTTTATTGTTGTTTAATGTGTCCCACTTATATCCAAACACATCTGTATTCCGGATAGGTCTCATATTTTCAGATAATAGGGAGTTTAAGCTTGCATATAAAATCGAAACGCCAATCTATACGTATGAATAATCGCCCAAACAAATGCATCGCTTAAATATTTTCTGTTCACGTTTAGGTTGAGAAAAATATCGCATCCCTAGTGTCAGTGTGCCTTGTCCGTTTGTATTGTATCATTTCTTGTAAATTCTAATATAGTAGCTAAACATTTTGTAGTGTTTGCTGGAAATATCAAGGCTCTTCAAAACCGGTGCACTCACTGGTGTAGAAGGCACAATCGCCTTGCCAATTCAAAGCAGCACAGTGCTCGCACATCTGTTTGACTTCTGGAGACTGCCTACGTTTAACCCGGCTGTGAACGTTTGTGTTGGGCATAGCACTCGTTTCATCTGGGGACAACAGGGCGAGCAATATCACCATACTAATAAACACGGTCAAGTATTTCAACATTTTGATACACGCGCAAATTGTCGACTGAAAAAAATAAAAATGCATAGTTTAACTCATACAGAATTTCTCAGTTACAGCGTCCAACATTAAAACGTCAACGTCAAAGTAAAAATCCTAAAAATCGTACATCTTGTGAGGTGGTTTTTAAGATGATAATACACATTTAAACATATTTATCTTGAGTACATCTTCACGGTGATCTCGAAGCCATTCTCAACAAAGAGTTCACGTAATACAAGATATATAATCAAAAGCATATTCTTTTTTACTCACTGACTCATGACAACATATGTAACATTAGGAAATATTTTTGAATTTCCGGTGTGCCTATATAACCCTGATTATTATTTTTCTTAATTATTTTTTTCAGAGAAGAAAAACATGATAAAGCAATTACAAAATACAAATTATAATACCGTTACATGGAAAACGTACATTTTACAATACAGCATTGTTTAAACGTTAGTGTTTAAGAATTTAAGAATTTTTTACCTTTGGCAATTTTTTTTTATTTAAAGGAAAAATCATCAGTGTCATTCGTTTAATTTTGGTTCCATGATTTTCCACTTATCACCTCTGCCAACTCGTTTGTTCATAGTAAAATATCCCTTCACATAACTTATAAAACTTGGTCTTGGTTTTAGCATAGAATATTTGCACAAATAAACAAACCTTTTAAAGATACATAGCATATTATTTAGGATGATTGTTTTT